GGTCTTAGGCGACCCTTGTGAAAGGGTCGTTTGACCGCCAAAGGGGTCTCGACCCACAGGTTGAGAACCGCTGCAGAGTTTAGTACTATTAACAAAATCTTACAGATTTGAATGTATATGATAAATGGGTGAAGAGCAGAATTGCAGAAGTGGGAGAAAGTGAAGGTACATAATGTTAGAGATGTAATGTTAGAGATGGGGCCTTGCTGGTAAGGGGTGATGAATAGGAAAAATAGCCCTTGGGCTTTTTACCCCTTGCATTAAAATTGCCACTGTGGTGGTAATGTGCCCTGCCTCCCTCCCTCCTGAGGGTAGATCTTTGTGCACAGCAGTATTGTAATGTAACAACAACTTTGTAGGTAGACACAAAGGAGGCAAATAGTACAAACACTTTGCAGGAGGTGATGAAAATCTGGTGTAGAAGGGCAACTGTACATCACTGGTTACTGACTACCCAATTTTTCTGCTTGGTGACACATATAGTAGAGATTTCTGGCACTTGTGCCATTGCTCTCCTTGTTATTTTGAACAGTGTTAACAAATGTAAATAGTATTTATTGCAGCTGTGTAAAGTCTGTCCCCCTGCAATGGCACCAAATACCGATATACCAAGTACCTCAGGCTACCAAATACTGACCTGCTATTGCTGTCCAATATAGGAGCCAGTACTTGGTTAGTAAGAATTTAAAATGTGTCAAAATAAAGAAGTGTAATAAGTGTACGATACATACTAGATTTTGAAGACCTAGTACCCCCAAAATATAAAAATAATTCAATATTGATTACATATTGAAATGAAAGTATTTTGGGATATATTGGGTTAAATAAAATAGAAAATTAATTTCATTAGTGTTTCTTTAAAATTTTAATGTAGCCACTAGAAAATTTTAAGTTATATGTGTGGCTCGTGTTCTATTTCTGTTAGCACTGTTTTAGAGACTAGTTAATATGTAAGGTACCTAGATTTAAAGTTTGTTTTTCTTAAATAGTACCATAGTTTAAATAATAGTTTAAATTATTAGAAGTATACCTCACGTAATATATATGTGCTAACCATGTGATGGCTTGGGAAGCTAAGTTTTACAGATATGTTTGTTTCTATAGAAAAAAGAAATTAAACCTATAAAGTCGTCTAAGTACATTACAGTTTTAGGCAGTAAAACAAATAAGACCTCTTTCAAGATCCATTCATTCCTTTTATTCTATACCAGTGGTCGGCAAACTCATTAGTCAACAGAGCCAAATATCAACAGTACAACGATTGAAATTTCTTTTGAGAGCCCAATTTTTTAAACTTAAACTATATAGGTAGGTACATTGTTATTAACTTAATTAGGGTACTCCTAAG